TTACTTTCAAAATAGACGTGCTAGATGATAAAAAAAGAGATGCAAACATCAAAATACTAGCCATTCATTATGGAACATCAAATAGTTTGGAGAGTTAGGTATTTTTTATGTGTTGAATAATTTTCGCTTAATTTTCTTTCTTCACTTTCTACAAAAATAAGTTTGATTATGATTTTGTAGAGAATTTAAAGGCGTATCTTTTGGAAAAACAATCAGCTCTAAAGGACAAAAAGAAGAAATGTTCTAGTTAAAATACTGAGAGGGCCATTTATTCTGCCGCACCCGTTACAATTTCTTTACGTGGGTAAATTTAGCACCAGATTCGAGTTTTTGCTATCCGGATTCGTTTGTGTACTTGGGTTAGATGCAGAATTTTACGGCGAATCCGATGATGTAAAGATCAAGAGGGATTATCGAGCAAAAACTGGCACTTGACTCCGAAACACTGAATTTTTTGAAAAATATTCGCTATTTTACTTGAGTTCGATTCAGCATGAAATTCTGCATTAAATGATATCGATTTAATATGGAGTCATCGAGCAAAAATTTTTCACCTTACCCAGCCACACTCCCTCATGATGACCTTTACCCGCACCCATATGAAAAATTTTTTGTCCAATAATCCCATACTAAATCGATATCATTCGATGCAGAATTTCATGTTGAATCCAACTCAAGTAAAATAGTGAATCTGGACAGCAAATACTTTTCAAAAAATTTTGAAAAATTCAGTATTTTGAGGTAAAGTGCCAGTTTTTGCTCGATGATCCCTCTTGATCTTTACACTATCGGATTCGCCGTAAAATTCTGCATCTAACTCAGGTTGAATGAAATATAACTCAAGTACATAAACGAATCCGAACGGCAAAAATTCGAATCTGGTGTTAACTTTACCCACGTAATTTCTTTCTTCTTAAAATCTTATTTTTTTTTTCTTCAGAAGATAAGATTGTTAACATCTTTTATTAATAATTTGTTTTCAAAGATACTTTTTTTTATGTTCTATAGAAGAATGAAGATATGATTCATTGTCACTTACTTCTATAGAAGTATCACTTTGTTTGCTTGTTATTGAATTTGAATCGAGACTAGGAGATGCTGTTAATCGAACTTGATTAGCTTTTTGAAGACATTCTTCAATACTTGATAATTGTTGTTCAAATGATGGAAAATGAAAATCAGTTGAACGTTCACATACAGAAGCAAATTCTTTATTTATTTATAAAGAAAAATCACTTTTTTTTTTTTATCATAAAAAATAAAATTACCTTCTTTAATATCAGAAGTTGTTAAACGAATTCGTTTTGGTACAAGTAATACAAGACCACAAAGTGAACTTGAATAAAGTGACATAAGTGTTTGAAGACGTTGTGGTTCAAATAAAATTTTATTACTATTATAAATATTTAATTATTTTTTTTTTACAAACAAAAAAAAAAACAACTTTTCTTTACTCTTTTTTCTCAGTTTTTAAACGACAATAATCAAGCATATCACAACGAATTAAACGAAGATTATACATTGATTTTAATTGTGCACCTAAAAAATATTTTTGTTGAAATATATTAAGATTAATAATAACTAACCAAGTTGTACAGTATAACTTGTTTCTAAACGACGTTCATGTAATGTTGTATCAGGTACAGCAATTACAACAGATAATGGTGATGATGGTATTGCATTAAGACGTGTATATCTAAAACAAAAAGAATCATAAAATTACCTTTTTTTTTTTGAAATAAACAAAAGAAAAACACAAAATTATCTAACATTTTATTGCTACCATTCGAACTTTGTAAACTATTCGATACTAAACTTTCTTCATGTAGTTGCATAACACGATCTTTAAATTGTTGTTTTTGACGATCTTTAACTGCTGTTATAGTACTATTCCATTTGCCTTCAACGGACTAGAAAATAAGAAAAATAATCATTAGAATTCAAAACAAAAAAAAAAGAAGAGCATTTATCTCTATTGTGAGTACTTGAAAATGAATCACAGAAGTTAAAAGCGATATTTATTAAAAACGATAAACCAAGTGAATCCTAAATTTGAGATGATCTTTTTTTGTTGCTGTTTACGCGAGAAATTAAATAGTATATTTTTTCATAATAAAATAAAAGTTTGAAAATCGTACTATGATTGTGAATGTACCAATTGCGAAAAATGGTACTCATGCAGGACACTAGTCCAAATTTCTACCCTTGAAACTTCAACACTCGTTTTAGATCATATTTTATAAAATATTAAGCGAAATTTAAATGTTGTATTAAGATTAGTGATACGCGGAATCAATTTTTTTTGATTTCGATACTGATAACTTTTGTATCTACTGGTTTCGGGATCGAGATTGATGATCTCGCATATATCTAAATAAGATATTATATTGAAGGTTGAATGAGTTTTTGAATGATTCATATGAGAATTGAATAGAAGAAAAAAAAGAACATATCGTTTCACGATTGATTCAATTGCTCAAGGCTGTCCGTTCTCCCTTCAAAAATACAAGTCTATTTCCGTTTGATTAATCGGAAATAAAATAAATGCATGGGAAGATAACTTGAGGTCAGATCTTTTACACATACACGCATATGATGATTTTTTTATTTGACACATTATTTTTTTTTTAGAAAAAGCGGTAAATATTTTTCGTTTTGTTTTTTTTGATTGCGTAGCTCAGAATTTTTCAGATGAACCTCATTCTATATAATTAAATTTTTCTTTTTTTAGTTGCTTGAATGAATATGTCAAAATGCAGACCTTCACAGAATCTCTCTTTTTTATTAAATTTTAATATCATTATATATAGAAAACATTTATATCAACAGACCTCTATTTTTAGAAATTTTTTTGAGACCTTCAACTTGTCACTCGTTTTTTTTTTTTTTTACATAAAAGTTATTAAAAAAAAAAGAGAGTACTGTGTCATGTTCTGTAGCTTGGCATACTCTTTCTAGTAAAAGAAAATTAAACGTATAAAATGAGGATTGACAGTGAGTTTAGAATTATCACATGAGCTACTGTTAAGAATTTCATCATAGTCTTTCGATTGCAGTCTCAATATATCCTGAAAGGATCAAGCGATTAGAATATATTTAGTCCAAAATCGGTTTGTGCAGGTGAGGCGAGGATCTTTGAAGATAACTTCATATAGCCTATTCTATTTCCTACAAGGAATACTCATTATGACTTGAAAGATTTCGAGAACTATCGAAAGATTAAAAGATTTTCTCCAGACTGACGAGAGAAGTTCCTCAACTTGATTGTTTGTTTTTGAGTTGGGACTAGAGCCCATTTTCGGACCCAGACTCTGACGATCAAAATTTTAGATTCAAACCTGATTAGTTAATCTTTTGTGGAAAGAGCTCGTCAGGTCCAAAAATTTCTGAACCCGGATCCGGATCGGACCGATGAGTTCTAGTTGAGATTACGTGTATTATATAAACTCAAATGAGTTATGAATATCCCGAAAAAGAGTTCGGATTCTTAGTTTATTGCTATGAAGATAGTGTATTTTGTTAAATGAATGCGGTAGTTACCCTTGGAAAAACTAATGTTCGAATTTCGATTGGAAACTTCGTACGTAATGAAAGTAGTTTTGTGCGAAAGTTTTAAGTATTTTGACTTACTTTTATCCTGAAATAAAAACATCGAATCTGTCCGTGGTTATAAGAAATTATTCTCGTGAAAAATTGTCTCTATTCAAAATTTCAAGTCGAAATTCGAAAATCAGTGTTTCTAAGAGAAATCACAGCATTCGTTTAAACACTACCGTAAAAATGCAGTAGTATCTCGGCAACAATAAGCTAAAGACCTTAACTCTTTTTTAGGATGTTCATAACTCATTTGTCTCTACATAATATACATAATCCTAACTCAAATTAGTTCGAGAATCTTTCTTGTGCGATTAAGTAAAATGTAGTGACGGAGTCAATCGGAACTGCGAAGATCCGAAGCTCAGCTTCTTCAATCAGCAATGGAGTCATCTGATATACATTCGATAAAATTTAAAAGATTCTATCAATAGAGTATAAAATCGTTCGTTTAATCTACCTGTTTATCTTCCATATGTTTTTGTGCAAGATTTCGAACATAAACATCCGGATATTTATCTGTTGGTTCACTAACAACTTCTTGCATTTCTCGATGATGTCTATAGAGATAAATAAATAAAAGTCTAAAAAAAAAAACCAATTATAATTTAATTCAAACTTTGTATCAAATTCTTGTATTTGTTTATCACGTTGTTTTAACATATCTGCTATTTCACTTTGATAAATATATTCAAGATGAAGAAGTAATTCATAATTATTTCCTGTATGAAGAACATTTTGAAATGCATTTGAAAAAATATGTTCATCACTAGGTCGTTCAAAATTATGTATGTAGGCTTTACATTCCTATTATTAGAAAAAAACAGAAAAATTCGATTTGTTCTTTTATTTTATTTTTTTTTTGATAAGAATTAACTTGAACAAGATTAAACCATTGATCGAGAAGTGTTTGTATTTCGAATTGTCCTTCAATAAAAGGTTGAACAGCTAATTGAGTTGTTTCATCAGCAATGATTTGAGTTTGTTCATTGAAAAATAATCGAAGTGCTTCTTGTAATTCTATAGTAAGAATAAATTAAAAAAAATAAAACCAAAAATTAATTTTAAATACTTGGAAAAACAAAAATTGGTAAACGCCATTGATCTATAAGACGATAAGCATGTTCATTTATACAAGTCGTATTAGGAATGTCTAGTAAAACTGTATGATCGGAATATGTAAATGGAATTTGTTTTCCCATTAAATTAATTATAATCTGGAACAAAAGCAACCTTTGATCGAAATCATAATAATAAGTAAAATCTTTAACAAGATTTTTATGAATACAGATATAAGATGACTGAATAATTCATCACGAATGTACGTAAGAATCTTTTATGTATCCTAATTTACACATCTACTTTCGATATTCCTTGAGAACACTTTAAGATGTTGTGCTATGAATTGTCCTTGTAGCTATATATAAGAAATGAGTTACATCTACTAATATCGAAGATTTTTCTTATTGATATTTTCATTAAAATTTAAACCGAACAATAATTTCGTAGTCACTAATCTTATTAACAAAGAATAAAGTTGTTTTCCCAGATGGATTTTTTTTTTTTCATTGTTTGGAGTGTTCGAAATTTATATTGAATAAAATTCATTCTTAACATTCTCTTGTTGAGAGATAAATGTCATCAGAATTTATACTATTAAATATCAAATCTGAAAAGGTACTGCTTGACTAGGCTAGTGGTGTAACCTGGAGGGAGCTCACCAGGGAACTTCTTCAGATGCCAAATTGCTTCTCGACTGACATGCTTTGACACCTGGAGAGGTTCCCTCGTCAATAGCTTATAACGTTGCTCTCCTGGGTACCTTCACTCGGGTAAGTTGGTGCGACCTATTAGACATATCTTTTGAAAGAATATACTATATTTTAATTGTATCATATAAAAATTTTAGTTTGAAAAAAGAAATAAATCTTGTGATTTTTAGTGTAATCTAGAAAAAAATAATAATTCGTATAAACTACTAAATAACTCTTTGAAAATTATATTTTGATTAGTTTTATCTTGTAAAAGTCATTTATTTGATTGAGTTATACTAAAAGAAAATTATATTTGATATAATCAATCAGATATAAAATAGTAGTGATCCATGAAACAACATTTAAATTACGAAATAAGAATGTTTATTTTGTTCTATATCAGATAAGTTGTCTTCTTTGACATGTATGATTCATTGATTCCATTACTTTATTTATTGACTTTATATATTAAATTTTTTTTTTCGTTGAATTTTTTTTATAAATTTCTAGAAAAAAAACTTTTAAATTTATATATATATTAAATAAACTCAAAATTCAAAAGTGACATCTATATATAAATAGATCTTAAAATAAACATTGGAGACATAGTTGTAAATAAAAGCAAAAAAAAATTTTTTTCTCCTTTAACTTTTTCTTAATTTTCAAAAAAAACTTTTCTTTTTTGTTTTAAATTTTAATTGAATTGATAAACAAATAAATATTCGAAGCGTTTTATTGTTGTTTGTTATTTTGATTTTACATATCTGCATTACCGTAATGTTTTATTTTTGTCTGTCTATATTATATTCATATCTATAGAATAACTTCAAATATTCGAATATATAATTAGATTATCATAAAAAAAAAAAAAAAAAGAAAAAAATTCAAAGAAAAATCTTTTCTATTCTTCTTTCTTTCAATTTGTTTTTCCGCTTGATTGATCAAATCATTTCTTTTTTTTTTTTATTGTATTGAGGGTTTCAGTTCGAAGGTGATTTTTTATTTTGTATAATGTCTTAATAGGAATCAGTTAAGTAAATAAAATGTAAGTATAAACCTTTACGTTTAGTTTATTTCATAACAGAATACTTCTGTCAGGGTTTTTTTTGTTTTTGATGTTAGTAGAATGATAGAATAGTTTATTTCTTTTTTTTTTTTTCAGAAAAATGGGTTGTACAGGTACAAAAGCAAATAAAGCTGAAGGTGATATTGATCGTTATCATCAAGAAATATTTGCTGCAGCACAAACGGGTGATGTTAAACGTCTTAAAGATATTCTTGATGAGTTGGATAGACGTAAAGCATCGACAACGAAAAAAGAAGTACTCAATATGGGTATGTAATAAAGAAAAATTATTTTTATTTTTACGATAATACGAAATATTCCGATGAAGTTTCGTCTTGTGAAAATTAACATTTACATTTACATATGAAAAGAAAATCATGAATGAATGTTAGTTATTATTTAATAATATAAATATATTGATAATTATGAAGATAATGAAAAAAATAATTCAAATATCAAACACGAGGAACACAAATGTGGGAAACACTAATTCGAGTTTTTTTTTATACACCTTGTTCAAAGTTTTATGGAATAGCTTAGTTAGAGCAAGTACCATTTGTTCGTGTGAATTTATATTAAACAATCAAAATATATTCGAAATATCAATTTATTAATATTGAACAAAGTTATCCATTCATAATCAATATCAAGCATTAGTACCTGCAGAATGTGTGTGTATGATGATTTTAGTGAAATCTGTATGGATTGATTTATAATCAATTATTTGATATAGAAAATGAACTATGATTTTTTTTTCTCATTCATAATTATCTCTATAAAAATATATAAGTTTATTATTATTATAGATCATTTACTGTATGATCTATTTCATAATTCTTTAAATCTTGTAATAGTTTTTTTGATAATATATATTTTTTTTTCAGGCTATCGAGAAGCAGACGGTCTAACAGCATTAAGTATAGCAGCTGGTAAAAAACACAAACCTCTAACTGAAATTTTAGCTTGTAAGTTATAATATAAATTCAATTGATCAATAATTTTATTTTCATTTATAATTAGCATGTCCCGAAGTCGATGTGAATAAACCATCATTATCCGGTATTACACCATTATTAATGGTTGCTGAAGTTGGTTGGCCAGATATACTTGATATTCTATTACATCGTGGTGCTATTGTTGATTCAGCACCATCTGGTAAACGAGCTGAAGAAAATAAAATAGCTGGTTCAACACCATTAATAGGTGCAACAAAATATAATCATCCTGAATGTGTTAAACGTTTATTAGCACATCATGCAAATCCAAATCATCAAAATCAATCGGGTATATCAGCATTAATGCTTGCAGCTGAACAAGGTTTTTTTGAATGTGTTAAATTACTTGTACAAGCCGGTGCTGATCTTGAATTAGCACCAAGTGGTAAGTATTTTATATTCTTATACATATAGCAAAAAAAAAAAGAAGAAAATTAAGACATTAAATGAATTATGTCATTGATCATGATTCTAATTCGTGAAATATGACCGAAGATCATCTCTGATTAATAATCTCAAATCCATGAAGGGTCAAAAAAACATTCTTACTCACTCTTCATCTTTTTATTAAATGAGAGGAAGGTCAATCTGACATTGAGTGCTTTGCTGGAACTACTTGTACATACTAACTAATGACAAGAGAAAACTCACAAAATGTAGTCAATATTTTACAATTCTATAGAATTTTCCATGAAGAAATAAATTAATAATCAATATATAAATATTTTTCCTAGGTCAATTAGCATTAACAATGAATTTATGTGGTCAAACACCATTATTTTGTGCAGCTAAAGAAGGTCGAACAGAAATCGTTAAATATTTATTAGATCGTGGAGCTAATCCACGTGTTCAAAATCATTATGGTGTTAGTGCTTTATGGATACCAGCACAAAAAGGCATGTTACAAGTTGTTGAATTATTATTAAATGCCGGTGCTGAAACACATGTTGCACCGTTTGGTAATTTAGCTGATGAATTAAATATAACTGGTTGGACACCACTTTATGCTGCAATGAAATCTCGAAAATTTGATGTTGTTAAATTACTTTTGAAACGTGGTGCTGATCCAAATGCTGTTACAAAATTAGGTTCAACACCATTTTTACTTGCATCTGAAATATGTGATTTAGATATAATTGAAGCATGTGTTGAAGCTGGTGCTGATCTTGATTTTGCACCAAGTGGTCCCGATGCTGATAATTTAAATATAACTGGTCAAACGGCACTTTTTATGGCAACATTAAAAGATCGTGTTGATGTTGTAAAATTTTTAATACAAAAAGGTGCACATGTTAATGTACAAAATCGTTATGGTGTATCACCATTATTACTTTGTGCTGAATCAGGGAATTATGAACTTGTTCAAGCACTTGTACAAGCTGGAGCTGATGTTAATATAACACCACAGGGCGAATTAGCTGAAGAGAATTTTCTTGCTGGACAGGTAATAATAACAATAATAATCTTGGGGAGATTAACATTTCAAATGAATACAAAAGAAAAGAAAGAACAATTGAAATTAATCGAATAGATTAGTTCATCTCTATTTCTTTGTGTGTATACGCATGGACATTATAATGAGAGATAACTGAAGAATAGAATATATACAATCTAGAAAGGAAACGATGTGAATTTTTACTTAGGATATATTAAAAGTTCTGAACACGGTGTTTAAAGAATATATTGAGAAATGAAAAACCAAATATATCATGTTTTAGAGTTTTTGGAGGTGCGTCGAATGGTATACAGTAAATCTTGTTTTCATAAGACTTTAAAGGATCTAAAGTCAATTTATTGCTATCAGTAAATTGACTCTAGTTCCTTTAAAATCCTACAAAAAACAGGATTTACTATATATTATTCGATGCGTCTCGAAAAACTCTACAACATTGGATATTTGGTTTTTATTTCTTCAATAGGTTCTTTAAGCACTGTGGCCAGAATTTTTGGTATGTCTTAAGTATTAAATTGACAGAAATATGAACAAATCTTTAACTAAAAAATGAGACATCTCTAGAGTTCGTCGGGTCTAAAAATTTTGGACTCTAATTATCTAGGAAATGAGTAGGCTGCACTAGTCACTGAATACAAAAACCTAGGAAAACATATCTCGTATCTTCGGGTCGCCTATCCAATTTCGATTAGACAGTTCCATTGAGAATATCAGAGTATGGTTCGACTTGGATTGTCTAGACATCTCATAAAACTGAGCGATGATTGATTGAAATTATGCGAGAGTTTATCGAACTCAAAAAAGCAAATGCTAGTATGGGATGAGTACGATATGCATTATTGAAACATACTTTATTTCCTTGTGTTTTGTGAACTGTGTATATCAGACCTCGAAATCGGACCACTTTTTTTATGGTTCGAGCCCAAAAAAAATA